CCCCCCCCCCCATCTCAGACCACAGCTTGGACAACAGTAGTTATAGCTACCATTGTTTGCACAAATGAATGTGCCAGGTGATTTATATGCAGGCTGTCATTTACTTTCCCCACAGCCTTGAGATAGAGACTATTTATAGATGAGGAAACTAAGGCTCCGAGTCACACAAGTAGGACATGTGTGGTAGGACTCAGCCCCAGGTCTGTGTGACTCCAAGGCCTAAGCTCTTAGTCACTGTGATACAGTGTCTCAGCAGAGAAGAGGCTGTTTTGGTGGATACTTTGTCATCTTTAAATACAGCAGGGTCTGGGCTCCCAGGAAAAGAAAAAACACAGCCTTCAGGGTCTGTTTCCATGCTTCTGCAGCCTGGCTGATGGCCTGTGGGCCCCAGCGGCATGCTGGACAGTGGCTGAGAGGAACTCTCAGGACTCTACTAGTCTGTGCCAATTTTCCTGCAGATCTGAGACGATCTGGTCCTGGGGAAGCACTAGCTGGGTGGAAGACCAGACTCAGCCTCCAGATACCAAGCTGCCAATTCCATTTTAATCTCCAGTTACTTTTATGAGGAACCCTCTGCCTCCCCCACCTTACCCAAATCTGTCGGTGCTCAGGAGGGTTTCAAACTGCAGCCCAATTTGGCACCATCCTCCCACACAGACTTTTTCCCAGAAGCCTGCAAGGGCCTGGCAGGCACAAACACGACACAGCTGAGAGTCAGCACCCCAGCCGGCAAGCCGCCCTCGGCTCAGGAGGACCGTCAATACCAGTAGCTACTTCCTCCCGCAGGAAGATAAGTGGAGGCAGACAGCCAGTAGCTGGGGTGAGCTACCAGGTGTTTGTGGGGAAAGATCTCACATTCATGAGGCTGAAGATAGGTTCTGGCTGTGTCTGGAGCAATCTTTTCCTCAGATGGATATTTCTGAAGCTGTCTTGAGGAGTTTCTACCATAAAGAAGGATTCTCTATGTCCTTGGGTCTCTATATCCTTGGGCCTAGCCTACTGGCTTTGTCTAGCCAGCTAAGAACCATGCTTTTCTTTACACAAAGAACCTCCCTGCTCAGTGGGAAGCTAACAGTTAAGGATAAAACAGGCCCCAGAATCTCGGTGGCACACTGTGCCCTTGGCATCACGCAGGGAGCTCTGCAATGCAATGGCAGTGCTTATACATTCAGAATGGGTGATCTTCAACTACAGCTAATAACAGCCTTTTCAAACTCCAAGCTAAGGTACCCCAGGAGCCCAGTATGAGTCTTTCCTGTGAGTGACACACCAGATGCCAGACTCAGTAGGAAAGCTCTTAGGACACTGTGTTCTTTTAGGGTGCTTCTCCCTGCCATTCCAAACCATATGTAAATATGGCATCTCAGTAGGGTTTTTCAAACTCTTTTGACATCCATTACTTCACTTAGGCTACTCTATAACCTTGAGAGCAGAGCTTTCATAGAAGAAACTGAGGGAAGTAACTTGTTCCATCACAGCTTGTTACTTTCAAAGCCTCTTGACTTCTAGTTAATGTCTGTTTCCCTACCCTACCCCACCTGTCAATGAACCTAGGTTTGGAAGGAGATCATGTAAAGGAAGTGAGCAAAACAGAGACTGTGCTGGCAGGGACCCTAGGACAGGAAGAACTATGCAAAGATCATATACAGTATACCAAGTTGGCCAGCCTCCAGGGAGAAAAATCTAGTCTGGAGCCCTAAGGTCTCAAAGAGAGGAAGATGGGACTCTCCTCAGCATCTAATGATCCTCTTATGATAATCAATGGTTGTGATAGCCCGGCCAGGGCATGGGGGAGGGGCATGGAAGAGCCTGAGCAATAGCTTTTTAAACCTCTGAGAGGTGATTGCACAAAGGATGGGAACTGGCTGTTCTTGTCCCTGGATCCAGCATCCAGAGCCCTCAATCCGTGGCATCCTGTGGAGTTCAGAAAGCCTCACTGAAATGATGAAAAGGCCGCTTTCATGACTTAAAGTGTCAGATGATGAAAGAGTTATTTTAAGCTTTCTCCCTTCCTCAGATGCAATCCTGTCATGTGGCCAGATCCCCTTGCAGGATCTTCCCTGTGGTTCTGCGTGTTCTAGAAAAGCTGTGGTACAAGACTGGAAGTCAGGACCTGGTATTCTAGTCCCAGCTCCCACTCCAGCTTGATGTGGTATCTTGAGCAACTTTAGATTTCAGGTTTCCTCATCTGTTCAATTAGAGGGTGTCGGGTAAGGATCAGATTCAGGGCCTTGTGACCCACCAACATATTCAGTGCCTCCCCACTCCTGAAACGTCTTTTGAAATCATTGCTAGCTAGTCTGTGCAGACACTGTGCTCGTAACATCAATGGGTAGCATTTCATTTAATTCCTGCAACAAACCTATAAGGAAGCTACAGTTACTGTCTCTGTTTTACAGAGAGGGAAAGAAGGTTCAGGCAGATTAAATAATCACATAGTCACACATGCTAGATAATGGTGGAGCGGGATAGCAATCCAGGCAGTTTTGTTGCCAGATTCCAAGTCCTTGAATTCCACAGTCTGTGGCCTCATGGTTGACTCCTGGGTTTACTCTCTTAATAACCACACTGCCTGAAATTATGGTCCATTACAAACGAGTTTGCAGCCACTTGCTTGGTCTATGTTCCTTCCCTTTAGCTCAGAGAGTTTTCTCCTTTTCCCCTGTGTGTCCCTGTGCTTCCTGAGGGTTAGGCTCCTCTGTGCCAGTGGTAACAACCACACCTGAAAGACTCAAGACTCAAAATTCTCTCTCTCCTAGCCATCTCTGGATGGGTGGCTGCAACATCTCACTAAGTAGCCAACCCCACCCACTGGAGCTTTACTCTCAACAGTCCCAAAATGAAGCTCACCATTTCCTGCCTCACCCTCCCCCTGCTTCTCCTCCTTCAGTATTTCCTATCTCAGTAATGGGCATTAACCCAGATGATTGTAAAGCCTTCCAGGAGTTCCCCTGGTTCCCATCTCTACCTCCTCTGAACACTCCACCCCCTTGTTGCCAAAGTCACCCTTCTAAGATCGACATCTACTCAAGATCCCTATCATAAAAATCTTCTATTCAGATTTCAATCATATTGTATAATTACTATCTGTCAGGTCCTAATTGCTTATCTTTTCGTTCATCCATTTAACAAATAGAATTTACTGGGCACTTTCTGCATGTCAAACACCAAACTGGGTGTTCAAGTTTGGGCAGGAATAAGACACAGTCCCTGCCTTTTCATCATGTATAGCTCAGGAGAGCAACATTAAATACGAAGGATTATTCCAGTTACTGAGCTCTTACACATCTCCTTATCTCACTTAGTCCTCACACTTCTTCTTTTTTTTTTTTTTGAGACAGAGCCTCAAGCTGTCCCCCTGGGTAGAGTGCCATGGCATCACAGCTCACAGCAACCTCCAACTCCTGGGCTCAAGCGAGTCTCCTGCCTCAGCCTCCCAAGTAGCTGGGACCACAGGCGCCTGCTGCAATGCCTGGCTATTTTTTGGTTGCAGCCATCATTGTTGTCTGGCAGGCCCGGGCTGGATTCAAACTCGCCACCTTAGGTGTATGTGGCTGGCGCCTTAGCCGCTTGAGCCACAGGTGCCGAGCCAGTCCTCACACTTCTGCAAGAAAGTATTTTACAGATGAGTAAACTGAGGTTCAGAGTGGTGAATTTGCCCAAGCAAGTAATGGTAGAAGCAGATTTCCAACCCAGAACGCCGTGTCTAAGTTTCTATTACAATTGTCCTTCCTCCTCAGACTCCCAGCACCTATTCCAAACTTTCCAGCAAGTCTATCAAGGCCCTTCTCAGTGCACACCCAGCCAACAGTTCATGCCCATTTCCTGCCACAATCAAGCACCCTTGTTATAGCTAGAAAAAAAATTCCCATTCTCAGAAACCATCCTGCCCTCTTGTGGTGCTGCTCTTGCTGTTTTCTCTGCCTGTTAAAATCCTTCTCCTATGTCCCCCCCAATCCCCAGGGCCACCCCCACTTCTTGAGGTGTATCCCAATAACAACCACACCTCCCACACTTTCTGTGAGGCTCTCAGAGACACCCTTTCCCAGATGTCCTATCTGGATTGAATCTTAAGAACGCTGCCCA